GTCTTTTCTTCTTGTAGTTTTATCAAAAAACTATTAACTTTTGCTTTGTCTGTTTTTTTTCATTTATCTTGTTATCATTCAAAAATGTATATACTTGTTCTGGCTGTATGCTATAGTTTTGTCTAATTTAAGTATATAGAACTTAACTGGTCTTTTATTCTAATATACTATGTAGTTGAACTAATTAGATATTTTTCTCTTGTCTTTTCTCTTTTTATTTTGGTATTTATAGTTTTTCATATGAGTAGAATAGAAACTTATTTCTATTAGTAAAGCAAGTAAGGGATGTGACAAAAATCAGGTGATTTTTTAGAGGGAGAGGGGGTAAAAAAGTTAAAATTATATATAAGAACCTGATTTTTTTATATTAAGAAGGGGAGAAGGGTAAGCATCTGATAAAAAATAATCAGGTGATAAATGACACTGCCTTAATAGACTTTGCTTGTTATATTTTTGGAATAAAGATCTTTCTAGTTGTTTACTTTTTTTGTTTTCTAAGTTATATATTTAGAAATCAGTAGTTTCTAATTAAGTTTTAAATTTCAGATGTCTTGTTATGATAACAAAAGTTCAGTTTGTTATTATTTAATGATCTTAAATAATCAAGTTGTAAATTTAAAAACAGAAGTGGTTGAAAGAAATCCTTTAGTCCTTGAAGCGACAAGAAAAGAGTTTTTCTAAGAAACTCAACTTCGAAGAGTTGTTACTAAAAAAGATAGGTTAGGATTAAAGTAGTAGATTTAGAAGAGAAAGTACAAGAATTAAGAAGAAGGTTTCAAAAAAATAATAATAAAAATTATTTTTGTAATATTTTGTAAATAGATAAATAAAATAATATTTTAAATCTAACTAATTGTAATAAAATAATAATAATAAAGTTATATAATAATAAATAGAATTAATATATATGTATTTTAAGAATACATTAAAATTTTATATATCTAATATTTTTGTAGCACAAAATCAAGATCACATGCATATATTATTTAATAGTACAATTATATGCATCAGAGAATAAATCATGCATAAATAATAAATTAATTGCATAGTAAACAAATGATATTTATTCTATAGTATAAATAGAAGGAAAAGCAAAATTAAAAAATGATTTTTTTTGGTCATTTCTCCTAGTAATAAATATATATAAATATGAAAAGTGTTAAAAAAAGATCACTTACCCATGCATATTATAGTTTTAAAAATCTATTAGATTTGTTATCATGTGAAGATTATTATAATTAGTCTTTAGCTATATTTTATTTAAATCACATCACTATAAATAAAAGGAAAAGCAAAATTAAAAAACAGTTTTCTTGTAAGAGGTGTATAACAAATACAAAAAGTATTAAAATTACTTACTTATATATATATTAGTTTTGAAAGCCTATATTAGATTTGTAAGAAGATTATTTATAATTTGAATAATGCAATAGTTTAACTTTAAATTAGTTTTTAGATACGTTTTATTTAAGTTTATACTAGTTTATTCAAAAAATACTAAAATAAAAATTAAAGACAACTTAGAAACTTTTGAAAAGCAGTCTTCAAATATTACAGCATGGTAGATCGGAATTTTTTTTGATTTTGGCTTTGATTTATGTAATTTCTTCAGCTAATCTAAAATTAAATTAAAGTCAGCAATATTTAGTTAAGATTATAGATTCTCTAGTAGTTAAAATTGTAGACTCTCTAGTTGATAAAATTGTGAATTTTTTAACAGTTGAAATTGTAGATTTTCTAATAGTTAAAATTGTAGATTCTCTAGCAGTTGAAATTGTAGATTTTATAACAGTTGAAATTATAGATTCTTTAGTATTTAAAATTGTAAATTCTGTTAAAAATATAGATTTTCTAGTGATTAGTCAAACTTTTTGTAGTTGGAAGGAATTGGATTGATTTTTGACTCTCTATACAAAGTCTTCGAATTTTGTTTTATTATTTATGGTTTAGAAAATGATAATGGAGTTTGCTGAAGCTGTTATTATGCTTGTGAGCATCAAGATCATAAAGCTATGAATAAAAAGATTAATATAGTTAAAAATCAATAGAAAACACAAAGTAAACGTATAGGTTGTCATTAGCAAGTTTATACTAATTGTTCTAAAACAACTGGTATATTAAATATTAGTTCTATTTGTTTAAATTATAATGACTATCTATTAAAGAGTGAAACTAACAAGTTTGTTATAAAATATCATATATTTACTGAAAAGATATTAAATAATATTAAGTTTTGGACTAAAATCAGTATTATTAGTATGAGAACTCAGTATCAAATATTGGTAAAGTGATATCTTAATACTTTTTTTATTTTAAGACTTTTTAAATACTATTCAAATCTTTAAATAACAAAATCATATTGAATATGATACTGCTATCTTGCTTAATTCTTTTCTTGAATATAGATAGGTTGTAAATTAGAAAATCGATCCTATAAACAATTCTCTTGTATCTTTGTTCTGAATATTATCTGACTAGCATTATTTGTATATTTGATATCAAGACATTATTCAATATGATAATACCTATTCAACAAATTGGTTTAAAATAGTATTAAGATTTTTATAATAGTAGATAACAATAATCGGTCTAGATTAGTAGAGCAGACTTTTATAAAAAATAAAACAGTTAAAAGTTATGAATAGGTTTTAAGAACTTTAGTTACAGATACAGAAGCTATGCTTTTAACAATAATAACAGATAATAATTTTGCTATTAACACTATGATTGCTAGTATTTTACTAGATTTATATTATATTCATTATATATTTTATATTAAACAGAATTTAATTAAGAATTTAAAAAACAAATTAGGAAATTGGTATGATGAATTTTCAAAAAATTGGTACCAAATATATAATTTACTTTTATACAATTAATTTAATTATTTATAGAACAAGCTTTTGTTAAAATTTTCTAATCTTAAATCATATCTTAATTGTGCTCTTTACAATAAAAATGAATATTGAGCTCTTTGTTATATTTTTAACCTATTCACAAACAGGATGCAGTTGATATAGCAAGTAGAAAATCAAAATACAATAATTAAAAATTTAGTAAATGGTAATACATCATTAGGGATATAACAAAAATTAGAGATTTTTTAGAGGAAAAGAGTGTAAAAAATTTAAAATTATATATAAAGACCTGATTAAGATATATAGTAAGAGGGTGGAAAGGGAATAAACTTCTGATAAAAAAAAATCAGGTGATAAATAATACTGCTTTTAATAAATCTTGCACAATATATTAACAAACAAATTGGTTATGTATCTATTTTTATTCAATATAAAAATTGGATTTATTTTATTACAGAGTTTATATTTATTTAAGCTAGCTCTGAATTTTCATCTGATATTGATAAATAAATTACTACTTATTTAATACAAGCTTCTTTATTTATACAATATCAAGAAATTTCTCAAGCTATATAGTATATATCACGTTTTATTAATAATTTTTTAAATTTAAGATTACAATTTGAAAGTGATCTTGATGAACTTTCTGGGTTAATTGAATAATCTAATCTACCTGAAGTTTTTGATATCTTTGTTGAAGATACTATGGATGTACCTGCTGTTTTAATTCATAAACTTATACCATTTACAGAAGTTAATTCTATTCTAACAACAAAGTTCATAACCAAAAAAAATTTACCAGAGAAAATTCACCAAAAAAAGTTCAAAGACAAGGATCCAAGAAAATGCATTCAAAAAATTTGCTAATGAAAAAGTCTTCTAATAAAGATCTAAAACACAACAACTCCACAGAACAATAACTCCAAAGAACAATAACTTCAAGAATGATGATTCCAAAGAACTACAATTTCAAGAATAACTTAGAAGGCTAAATTTATAGAAAAAAATAAATTAGTTAAAAAAAAACAAAAATAGCGAAAATAATAAGAAAGAGATAGAAAAGTGAAAAGTGCAAAAAAAAAAAAGAAAAACAAGAAAAAAGAAAGAAAAAAATAAAAAGCTAAAAAAAAAGATAAAAAAAAAAGAATAAAACAAGAAAGAAGAAG